TACACCCACGAATCCTCAAGAGGAGCTGCCGCCCTCCTTGGTCCTCGAGTTGATTCTCGCCTTGTTGGTTACGTAAATGTTGGTTATCTGTCTGACCGATATAAGGTATGTTCTCAAACAGGCTATGTCTTTACCATTGGAGACACCGTTACATCTTGGAGGTCTACCAAGCAAACGCTAATTGCGACTTTTTCAAACCATGCTGAGATTCTTGCCCTGCATGAAGCATCACATGAGTGCTTTTGGTTGAGTGCAATCATGAAACATATTCGAAGCATTAGTGGTCTGACTTCTGTCGTTGACCTTCCTACAACGATCTTTGAAGACAATGCAGCATGTATCGAGCAGTTAAAGAATGGATACATAAAGGGAGACAACACCAGCTCATAGCACCGAAGTTCTTTCATTCTCACCAGCAACAATATCATTAGAACTTTGAAATCAAACAAATCCATTCCCCAGACAACTTGGCCGATCTCTTCACCTAGTCATTGGTCATCTACTTTTCAGAAGCTCATCCAAGGAATCGATATGCGTAAATTATTGGAGTTGAATTGCTTGTAGTTCTCTTATTTGGAAGTTATGTCTAACTTAGTGGGAGTATCTAGAAGCATACTCACTTGATCTTAATGTACTCTTTAACCTACGATTAGGAGCATTTTTCCACTGGGTTTTTTGCGACCAAACAAGGTTTTAACGAGGCACTCATCCTGGGATGATCATACTCCGTTGAGTTCACTACTTTCATCTTGTTCGACATTTGTTTTTAAACATTATGCACACTTCTCACTTTTCTCCTTAGTTTATGGGTTTTCTCCCACCTTAAGTTGTACATAGCGAAGTTTTGTGAGTTTTACTATCAGTACATACTTTCTTTTAAATTTGAGACTCAAATTCACCTGCTGTGCCGACCACTTCATCACTATTCTACCTTATCTGCTGAAGATTTGATGCAATGTTTTGTTCGAGTATTCACAAACTGAAGGGGGAGTGTTGCAATTCTATTGGATTAGGAATGTGATTGTGTAAATCCTAGTGTATTTTGGAGTATCTTTGTATATTCCCTTTAGTAGTTAAATTCCTATTAGAGTTGTAATCCTATTAGGGTAGGGATTTAACCTTCCCTGCTACTATAAATAAAGGCACAATGGGGTGATTCAACACACATCTCAGAATTACATCTCTCTCTTCTCTCTCTGTTGCCGCCGGCCTCTCTCCCTCTCTATCCTAAATACAGTTCAATCAAATAAGTCTACAACAAAAACTATATTTTAGTTCTACGAGTAAATCATATTTTGTGCGAAAAAAATATATAAATGAGATAATTGAAAAATATTTTGAATGAAAAACCAAGATTATCTCCTAAAAAACGGTCAACTAAAACACTTTGAAAGTAATATATAAAATTTTAATTTTGAAATTACAATAATGTGGCCTAATGTGCCTAAACACCTATATGTTTGAAAAAAAAAACTTTAAATTTTGGGGGTTTAAATCTGATTAAGTCAATAGAGAAACAGCTTCTGACAAGATTTTTATTGAGCAAATTTTCGAATGCGATAGGGTTTGAACTTTAAAAAGCGGGCAGCAAACCTACGTTCCAACTCAAAGGGGGAAGCATGCTATTAACAGACAACATAAGAACTAATGAAATAAAGGAACATCAGTTTAACCTATATATTACAAGAAAGATAGAGAGAGATACGTAGGTTTAGTATACTCTAATGTTATAACATCATTAAATAAAAGTTGGTATGGTCCAACCCCAACATATATACTAATGATATCATCAATTCTTCCGGAGTGGGATTTGGTTCGGATTTGTTCGTCCCAATTATTTTATATTAACCCTGGCCCCTTTATTAACATAAACAAGCAATAAGATAAGATTTAATCCTAATGGAAGAGAAGAGACTAAGAAATGCAATAATAATATCGAAAGACTGAATAAAGTGGGATGTATCGCTTTGGGAGGGATATCCAATTGTCCTTGACGTGTACGTTGGGGTGGTGGAGGGTGACGAAGGAAGGGCAAGAGGTGCGACCCCTCCAAACATTGCCGATTGGGAGTAATTTTCTATTCCATACTGTCAGATGTTGTTATTATTTTTATTGAAATGTTGTAAATACATGGATGTATTTTTTTTATTTATTAATTAATATGATTTATGTTTGTAACATATCAATTTTGTTCTCCATTCATAATGAATGGTGCGTAAGAATTTGTTTTCATTAATCTATGAGTTAGATATGTCAAATAATATTGTCTACTCATATTATAACACATCAAATAATAAAACGATACGATAGTTCTACAAAACAATTTCTTGTTAAGTGAGACCCCGTTAAGAATGTCCCCAATTACGAGTATTCATCCACTGTTGTATGCTAAAATTTCTTAGATTAGACAAAGGATAAAGGTAGTGTTTATGTGGTGTATATAGGTTGCTGTTGCACGCCATTGGCTTCTTCTAGCACTAATCCAATGCCTAGTTGCAAACAAAAAGACTTGCCACTAGCAGGGAAAACATAATATAGTGGGAAAATAATGTAGTACTACTACTGATCATTTTCTTGTTGGGTCCCAGACTCCACCCTCTCCTTTGTCTATTAATTAGTTTAGTTGTTTATACTTGTCCACCAAACCAGTTGAGTCACACTGATGATATTCACCATATATGTATATGTATATTATGTGCATGAGCAATTAAGTAGGATATAACTCAAAAGGCATGCAACTCAAAGTTTGGATAAAAAAAACTCAGCAAACATCTTACATATATATGCTACATATTTATCGAGAAGGAAATCAAGTTTTTTACGGTATCTTGGTTTCTTATGATATAATGGAAGAATTATTTATGGCGACTTCATCATATATGATTTATCTGCACACATATTTATCGAGAAGGAAATGATTAGGTTGCATATACTTTACCTTCATTTGCGGCATAAAACTATGCTTATCAATGGTGGTCTATAGTTCCGGCATTTGTAGGCTCTGCCCATGCTCGTGCTATTTCGTTTTTCCCATATTATTGTTGCCGTTGATTTTTATCTTTTTTGCAGGTTTTGACTTCATCCCCCACTTGTATCTTTTAGAGGAGAGTATGTGTCTTGCATGCCACCATTACTAAACAGCTAATCTCACTGAATCTTTCTCCATTTCATTAAAAAAAAATGCTAAATTACATACTTGTGTCATCTTTTTATATATGCATCTTTTTATATATAAACATTATTGAAGTGAACCCAAAAGAATATACAAATGACACGGAAATAAGAAAAAGAATTGTCATTTTCTAAATCTTTAACTTAAAAGTATAGGGGCTGCGGAAACTGAACAAAGCCAGAAAAAAAATAAAAAAAAATAGGACAGAAAAAAGAAGTGGGGCAAGTGCCAATTGCGTGTGAGCAAACACTGGAATCAACTTAAAGCAGTAACACTACATGCATCGGCCAAAAACCGTTTCCCTGTTTATCACAATTATTAGCCATTAGAAAAGCAGCAGTTTCCTGTTCTTTTTCAGAACTACTGCTTTTGTGCATGCCCCCATTGCTAAAGCTCTTCCTTTTCTTGCTAGTAATACTCCAACCCTCTATGTATTTATCGACGGTCTATGATGTCTTGCTGTGGTCCTACCATGCACTTATTAAAATATCAACTACCATGATTTCTGAAGAACTCAATTCTAGAAAAATATTGGTTGGTTAGGCTGTACATCGAAATGATTTTATTTATCGCAATTTATGTCCCAATTGTGTGATTATGTATTGTTTAGAGTATCGAGATTGTGTTTGTATCCAAAAGAATTATATTGATGTTTGGAGTTATGGGTTGGATATTTAGAATGGAGGACATATTTTGAAAGAATTTTGAACAATATTTTAAGAACATTACGAAGATAGTTTGAACTCATGACGCAATAAGTTGAAAAGGAATACTTATTACCAACAAAATCTGCCGCTTACTTAGTATGCAAATATATTTTTCGTTTAACTATCCCTTTATGGATTTCTTTATATGGCTTAGTTTAACTATAAAATTAACAAACTAATAGAGGATATATATATATATATATATATATGTACGTACGTATGTATGTATGAAGACAAGTTGAGGAAGTTAGATATTGGATGAATTATGTTGTACTTAATCTGTAGGGTCCTCCTTATTCCCAGCTGATTACAACTGAAAAAAACATTCCTAAAACATATGATCGCATGCATCATCTTGTCAACAAAGTTGAATGATCAGTTATGACAAAGCCAATGATGGAATGAAAGCGTTTTCTTATATGATATTATCCTAGCTATTCTATACCAATATAATGTTCCATCTACTGTATTCTTCAATGCGCTACACACTCACAACAATATACACCCTCCCTTCCCATCAACCAAGTTACAAAACGCCTGCAAACTTTACTGTACAAATGTAACTCCTGATCCTTTTGTCCATTTCTCAGGCGAAAGATACAAGGGCTAACACCGAAAAAGACTAATGTCAGTCGTATATGTGAATTCTTGATACTGTTCACTTGTATTAATAATTGATAGTCATCCAGGCTCATACCACAATTGCGATTGGCAAAACTACTCTATACATAAAGTTTATTGGTTATGATTAATCAGCGTGACGTACCATAATTGTACAGTAGGATAACATGTATGTTAATTTGTTCCATATCCGTTAACACACAGCACACAGATATCAAAATAGACAACTTTTCATTTGTTTTATTTTCGTTTTCTTTGTTGCCAAACGTTCCATGATTACATTCTCTACTGAAAACTTATCTGAATACCAAATCTAACCCTGAGTGCGTTTTTAGTGTGCTCATGGATGGGTGAAGTATCCCAACAAGGAACAAAGAGGGACCCAGTTTTGCCCCACCCTTTCCTCATGCAAAATGACGACATTAATCTCGAAACAAAAACAAAATAAAAATGCTTAACTCCCACAGATTAGACCACCCTAGCTCTGTCTATATATAACACCCAACCCCATCTCTACTTCTCAACCCACAACACCCTCAAATATCTCTTATCGGTTCTATCTTTTGCTTGATTTGCTTCTTTTGCAAACATTTTGTTAGCTGAAAAAATAAAGTCATCAAAAGTTCAAAACACGCACATTTGATTCAATTAAAATGGCAGGGAGAGAGCCTTTTAACGTGACAGCCAGAGCACCGGAGATGACGACGGCACAGAGGTCGCCGTGGCATTCCCCGGTGCCCTACTTGTTCGGTGGGCTGGCAGCCATGTTGGGTTTAATTGCGTTTGCGCTTCTGATCTTAGCATGCTCCTACTGGAGGCTCTCCGGCAACCTCGAAAACCACGAAAACGGATCAGAACGGGACCTGGAAGCCGGAGAAGGCGACGAGTCCTCCCAGAAAATCGTGCCGGTATTCGAAGAGAAAATCTTGGTGATCATGGCCGGAGACGCTAAGCCAACTTTCTTGGCCACACCCATGTCGAGTAGGTCTTCATCTTTTGGCGACAATACTAACAACACTTGTAGCTGTAGCCAAAAGACTGAAAAGTGGGTGGACGTGAGTGAGACGACTGCTGACAACAAGCAAGGAAATAGTGATGGAAGTGATCAGCATCAGGTACAAGTTACTGATGAAAACGGGGAGAGTGCCCAGGAGGCCTCAGATCACTCGGATCAGAGAGTAAGTAATTAAGTAATTAACTTAATTACTTGTGACTTTGGTAATTCATTAAATTTCTGGATGGGGTTGATTTGGTTGAGACTGAAGTTGTGGGTTTTTTTTTTTGTCTTTCCTTTTTCACGGTAGATGTAAATTAAATTGAGATGAAAATGGAAGAATTCCCTTTTCTCCTTACAGTTTTGCCTTCTGCTATTTATGCCCTTAATTTGTTAGCCTCCACTCCAAATTTAATATTTTATTTCTTAATTAAATAACTCACACATAAAACTAATGCAACACCACAAATTAAAGAGTGGGAATGACATTACTTTTTCATTGTATTTTTTGTTTGAAATTGTTACTATAAGGTTTCGGTGTGGGTTAATTATATATTAGTTGTACATACATTTTGAGGGTGGTTTTGACAAACCCAGAAACCATTTATATATGAGAAAAAGAAGAAGATGGAGATGGATGCGTCTGGAACTTTGTATTGGGTGCAGAGAAGAAGGTGAATCAAGGGGTACGTGGTGGGCTGAAACGGTGGAGAAAGGCACGTGTAGGTAGGTCTCTTTAAGGAGAGATTTTATCTTGGAAACGCAGAGTAGCAAGCTATACGTTATTATATAAGTGCAGAAAGTTTTTCTTTTCACGTGTCGCTCTACATGTCCGAATAGTTTTAGGATTTAGGATAATTTATTCTCTTTAAGTATTATTAATATATACACATTACAGTGTTGGTGAGTGGAATTCAGTGCAATGCGCATTAGTTCAGCTTCTTTGTGTTTGTGTTTGAAGGTACCACTACCAAAATATTGAATAGTAGGGACGAAAAATCAGAGGTGGAACAAGTTTTGCTTTTCAATGTGACCAAAATATGGAGCGGCACGTCCAATCGCTATTATTTAGAGAATAAAAGTAATGGTGAAATTAAATGCCATTAATCCTTCAAAGTTATAAGTGTACTATTATATAGTTGCACATTTTAGTATTTGGCAAATATGCAACATTTGGGTGGTGACACTGAAGTTGTGTGGTGGATATTGTTTATATGAATATCGAAAATGATATTGGCAATCAACCATGATTGGAAATACTGAACATATATGCATTTACGCGTCAAATAGTAGTCCGCTAAACTTTTCTTTAAATAAAGACTGTAAAGTAAAACTCAACTTTCAAAATGACCCACAAAAAGGAAGTTGTTGTGAGTGAAAGTTGTCCACCTTCTTCTCCCCAACTTTTTAGGCTATGCTTTCAAGTCACCTGAGTGAAATGTTGTTGTGGCCAATTTATCTAACAAAAGTTGGAGGGGTAAGGGAGAGAGAGTGGAGAAATATGTGATATTCTGAGGTGTGTTATGTTGTCACACAATACTTTTATATATAGTAATAAGGAGGAGAAGAATCCTTGTCCTTCAAGGAAATACAATCCTAGTAAGGAAAGAAGAACTAGTAATCAAATCTATTTAGGATTTAGGAAATCCCTTTACTATAATATCTATGACATTCCCCTTTAAGTGTGTAAATACTTAAATAGATTCGTCATCAGGTAGAGTCGAGGAAGTCGACTCATCGGAATTGATTCTAGGAACACCTAGTCTCAGACAAAGGAACTTGCATATGGAACTAATTCTCACAAAAACCCAATGGCTATGGAAAAACCTGAGGTGGGACAAAAACCCATAATCTAAGAAAAAGTGCGTAAGAAAGTGCAAAATCAAATGGAATGTCTATGAGACATATATCAAGGATATGACCAACCCAGGATGGGTGCCTCGTCAAAACCTCGTCAGGTAGCAAACACCCAAAGGGCAAAGTGCTTCTAATCGTAGAAAAAAGAGTACATTAAGATCAAGAGATTATATTTCGGGATACTCCCTCTGAGTTTGGCATAATTCCAAAGAGAACTAACAATGTTACAACTCAGAAAGTTTACACATACCTATTCATCAACAAGCTTCTGAAACGTCATCCTCTGCAGTGATTTGGAGAAGAGGTCCACTAGGTTGTCCTGGGAACGGATTTTCTTGACTTCAATCTTCTGATACTCTTGTTGTCAATGTGCTTGGTGTTGTCTCCTTTGACATAGCCCTTCTTAAGTTGTTCGATACATGTTGCGTTATCTTCATTAAAGATATTACTTGTCTACCAAGTAAGAAAACCTAATTAAGGTCAAATTAGAATATCTTGGGGATTAAGTGATACAATCATGATTTTAGGAAGATTGGGTATTTTATCCTAGATTTCCTCCTAGATAGTCTCCTAATTTGATGAAGATTTCTTTCCCTACAAGAACTCTCAAGATCCCTCTACACTAGCCTAGGTATTTATTAGGGGGACATGTTAGGATTTTTACCACTTGCGCCAAAATGGTTAAAAACAAGTTATGAAAGCACTAGGCTTCCGCCGTCACCTTAACAATCCTATGTAAGTTTACTAATTACTTATAAATTACACATGCATCTTGGAAGGTTAAGTTTTCCTAGTGCATATTCTACTTATGGCAGTCAAGTTAGAACATATATCAAATATGCAATCCGTCTGTCGCATTCATATCAATTATAAACATGCATGACTCATTATGCTTTCTAAAAACCCTTTGAAAAACCATGCAACCCCTAAGACGTGGCATTCGCCCTAGGTGGAATTACAATTATTAACCACGCGAAGCATTCCTCAATTTCAGGTTGACATTCCAACGGAAACTGCATCTAATTACTCTTTTAAATATTGGTAGCTAAGCATTAAGCCAATTGACGGTTTAAGCATAATGATTAATAATTCAAAGTATGTATGTATAATATCACAAGCAATTAAATAAAGACTACATATTCATGCTAAGGCTTGTGGCTCGCCCTAGTAAAAGGAAATTAGTTACACATACTCATAATAAAAGTCAAAAGGATTTTTATTGAATGGAAAAAAGAGTGAAAACACCTTGAATGTAAAAGTCTGAAAAGTTCCAAAAAACCCAAACTCTTCTCTCCAAAATTGCATAGATAAAAAGAATAGGGTTGGCCACTATGGCTTATTTATGTTACTCAATTATAAATCTTTCCTACAAAAGGTCTTAGAATAAAACTAAGAAAATGAAGTAAATTTAAATAAACTAGGAAACGTAATCGTAAAGTGATAAGGAAATCCGCCCATAATTTGATCATCCACTTTTTGGACCCAAATATCTTCCAAAGCCGGCCCAAAATTGCTGCATTTAAAGTTTGAAATATTCTAAACACTTCTCCATAAGGGCCCAAACCCAAAAGAGGCCATCTTGAACTCCAAAAATCGCAATTAAGTCCAAAAACGTTACTTTTCCAGCACCGTGCGCTGCTCCTTTATTTAATCACCAAAAAATAACCACTTGGTAGAAAATTTTAAAACTATGACACGATCAAGCTAAAGGACTCACAGAAATTTCATCCATTTGATCAATTTTTGCTCTGGAGGAATTCAAATATCCTGTATTGAAATTATAAAGAAAAGTATCAAAATTCACACAAAATAACCAATACATTATAACTAAGATTAAATTGAAATCATCAGGACATCACGTCTACTTCTCTCTAAGTCTGATATTCTCTACAACATACATATTCTCTCTGTGCCTAGCAAAGACCATCACGCCACCGTCTATGTGTAGACATGTCCATGGAGAACTCATCTCTCAACGTCTTGCCATAGGCTATTCGACAATGATGGTTCACACCATTCTTCTTTTAAACTACACACATAGTTTGATTTTCCTTCCTAGGGATATGTAAGCAGTCATTCCCCCATTCAAATCATTTTACTGACATGTGAATCTATTTTGGGTAAAAAGTGATCAAACAAAGGAATTTTGGAGTAATTTCAATTGAGTGCATGTGCGAGTCTTTCAAGATAATTGTGTCCAAATTCAAGAATTTAATTCCAAGTGGTTTCACCGTGTCAAAGAAAAGAAGGCCTAGCGCAACTTTCCAAAATTGACATTTATGGATGTTTTGGGTATTTTGAAGGTCAAAATGACCTATTTCGAGGAAGGTTCCTTCTAAGGATATGTTAAGAATGTCATGAGATTTAAGAATAAACCTTTTGGGACCAAATTGGAGTTGATTTGATGAAAAAAAAATATTTATCCAAGAGCGACAACAAAAACAAGGAGGGTTTCTAATATCTTATTACTACAAAAAATTTAAATTGCTTTATCATGAAACAAAGAGCCTGACCTGACTATTCGTTATTATTTTGCAAAGAGGATATGTGTTGATTGAACATCCTTTCATCCTTTCAGATCATGTGACATTGTACTAACTTAGTCCAACACTATTTTGGTGGGGCCAATAATTCCGACAATGACACAACCTTTTTGACGAATATGGCATGATCTCAACACGAGAAGATGTACAATGGGGGTAAGTCACCCCCAGAAAAGGCGTAAAAGTGCAATTCCAAAACTAGTGTCAAGTTCCGTCAGAGTTCGAAACCCAAAATGAAATATAATGGTTCTACAACACATCGTAGCGATCATGCTATAGCACAAAGAACTACAAAAAATGAAGAGTCTTGTTTCTTTACCGCTATTATTATTTAACCACCACCGCTTAGGGTTTTTGGTTTGAGCTATTATTAATTTAATTATTAGCATATTTTTGTTCACAACTCAATTCGTGATTCCAAGAGATGGTAACCCAAGGAATTAGGGAGAAGCACATCTAAGATAGGAAGGAAAGGTAAGTTTAGTTTCATGGTGACCAACACCTCATCGTAAGTTTGACTCATATATCTCTTGTCTAGCTTAGTTCGAGTCCATCAAAACTCTGACCGAGGGCAAGTGCTTGCGCAAAGCTCTAGAGGTAATGTAATCATGCCAAAAATCCATTATACACACTTGAACGATTTTTTGACGACGAACTGGCTTCCAGATGAATTTCGACACAAGGTCATTTGAAGACAAAAGCTAAGACACCCAAGATCACTGTGTAAAAATCTTAAAGTTTTCTACTAAGAAAATCTTTCTAGTTTTACATATGAAGACAATTAAAGCTGCATTCTTGCTAGAACTACACTGTTGTGAGCAAACGAAGATTTCAAGGCCTTGTCGATTTTTTTCCCCCAGTGAATGCCATATATGCACGAAAAGATAAGAAGTGAAAATAAATTGTTAATATTTTTCCATAATTTTTGAGAAGATAGAACGGTGTCAAATCTGGCATGCAAGGCAGCTGAACAGCAAGTCAGCAAAAGTAGTGCATCGCGGCAAAACCTCCAACTTCCCAGATTAAATTGTATCTACTCGAAGCAAACTGGGTTTCTTGACATACATTATCGTAAATATAAGGAAGTTAGCTTTCTGTAGAATTTTGCAGAACTCAACTCCGAGTTATGTGGAAGACATTGTTACCATTTACCATTCATAGAGCAGGCTGGAATTTTCTGTGGGATTCTTTATGTTCATCCTCCGAACTCATATCAAATGACATATAAGCTCAAGATGCACAAATCATGATCAAGTTAGTAGTTAGTTCAAGATGCACAAAGTCATGATCAAGTTATGAGTTAACCTAAGGGTTCCAACCAATTCAAGTCCGCTTCAATAAGCTAAAATCGAAGGTCGCCTACAAAGTATTGCGTGACAACTCCACACTTATCCTCCTCCACTACTAGCTCGTAATGGAAAAGGATAGGGGGCATAGCATATGTAGTTAGATGAAAATTTTCATGACTCTGAACGAGGAAACCAACTTGAAGGCCCATTTAACGAGTGAACAACCTTGGTTGAAAACCATGGTATCGCTCTAAGAGATAAGTATGTCTAAGTATTTAATTATATAAATGACTAAATGCATGTCCATGACAAAAGACCCAAAGCAGGAAATGATCTTTTCGTATCCTAGCACGCCATCGTTCGTTATTTCTTACACCATTCTTTGTGGTACATGGAATATTCTAAATTCCATAATTATGAAGAGCTTTGAAACTTTGCGGAATGGCAAAGTTCAAAACTTCAAATTAGTCAGAGGAGTCTCTGTTAACCTCATCCCATGTTGTACGGTTAACAGCTTGAGAGGCATGAGCCATCATAAGCACAGTTACAATTGGCAGGCTATGGGCATGGGCACGGCACATTGCACCTTGACCTGGAAGTTCAATGCACCACCCGGCCTCCGGAAGGATTATATAACCAAAAAGGATGTGGGTTATAACATTCAAACCTGGGTTTTACACCATTCGAGGGAATAGTCGAATGGGCGATCTAGAAATCATCCGATGGTGGCTATAAACTCCAACCCTGAATATGACTTCTTCTCTCCTGGACCAGCATACTAAGCCAAGTACATTTGCAACACCATGTGTTAAACAGGTCCAAATGAGGCATGCAACACCATGTGTTAAACAGGTCCAAATGAGGCATCCAAACTAGGAAATCCTCAAGAGGAATTTTTTTCCAACTGGTCTCCAATATGCAGAAGTGTCTTAGCCAAGCCAGGTAAGTATAGTCCGACCAGAAACACTCAAGCCCGACGCATAGGGTATGCCAAAAGGATTCAAAAAATGTTTCTGACCCATATGTAGAGCACGTCCCTAACAAACTTTCATTGAAGATCCACTAGGGATGAATCAGCAATTCGGACTAAGAAGGAAACCCCTTCCTGGTTACATGTTGCACTATTAAAAACCTCTGACCTAGAAAGGGGGCAAGGTGAAAGAACAAAGGGAATCAACAAACAAGACAATCTGAACATGTCAGATTGACATTAAAATCAAGAGGCCATTCCAAGTATAATTTGACACTTCTCATCCTTGATCCGATCAATGCATTACGACAAGTCTGGGGCAAAAGGTTTTCCATGGCTTAAAAATTTAAAACCTACTATCAAGTAAGGTGCTACTTGATGTATATTTAAACTAACTTAAGTAATAGACTAATTTAAACCAAATTAAACTGGCAAGTGCACAAATCAATTGTAATAATATATGCAAATACAAGGCCGATCCCACAAGGATTGCTTTAACACCAAAATAACCGATTAATCACGCTAGACTTTATTAAACAAACAAAGGATAAATTGAATTGAATAATTGAGTAATTGATCAAGACTAAAATTAACAAGAAAAGGAGAAGCCAATTAATTAGAATAAACACACGACACAAGAAAACCTAAGGTTATGAATTCACCAATAACAATCCTATTTACTTTTCCTAGAGCCAACTACTATCTAATTACCATGCCAATGTTAAAGGTTGTTATTTCTAAGGTATGAATTAATCCGTGGTCAGACATCAACTCTTGTATCTCTATACGATAATTATATTCTATTGGTTAGGAATACAATTAAACACATAAAAACCCATTAATCGTAGAAGAATCATGTCAACCAAGTAGGACTAGCTTGATATTGGCCATCCTCGCTAGTTTATCTACTCTTCTTAATCTTAATTCCAATAAACCTAACTGATTGGTCATCCTCATAGATCCATCTAACTATCTAGACGCAAAATTCGTAAAGGTGATCAATCATTAGAAATCCGAACCTAGAATAAAATACCCAGAAAGATTAAGAATATAACATGGCATATAATTGGATAACAATTAACAAAGTACTTCACAAATATTCATGTCATAGCTTTATCATAAACCTTAGAAAATAACTTAGTTACACATAGAAAAAATAAAAAAAAATATAGAACCCGAAGTTCATAGCAAAGCACATCCCTAAGCTCTTCTTCACAAATTGCAGAGATGGATTGTTAGGTTTTGAACTTACACGTATCATGATAAGGTACCTAAATGTGGGTTTAAACCAATAGGAGTCATGGCCATGTCAACAATCGATCTCCTAGAGTTAAGGGATTATAGGAACGTTATACATAACCTCATTCGAACGTGCAAGATAATGGGTATTAACTGATCACATGGCAGGTGGGATCACGTTAGGAATATACTCTATAAATACAAACATCCCTACTCACCAATCACTAGACTATCACTAGTATTAGACATAAGGGTTGTGTGAGTAGAAGATCTTTTGTTAATATTCTCTTCAGTGCATTCATACTATTCTTCTTCGTTTCTTCAAGTATGTATATGCATATATATACTGATTCAATCACTTTGAACTAATATTTTATTTGTATATTGTAGTCTTAGTTTGAGACTAAATATAAATGTCTATACTTCACAGTGTTCTTTAGTGATTGCAGAATAAAGGAGGATCGTGTATGGATTTGTTTTCTTAGCATAATTGATCGTATGAACCACATCAAAATGGGTTCATATTGAAATGTTAAATTGAGAAATAAGAAGCATGGGAATTTTATAGTTCATTTAATCATAACATGCATATAAGAACTTCTAAAGAAGACAATGTATGAATGGTTTGATTAATGGATTAGGGCATAGTTTTTGGTGATTGGTTAATTATAGTTTTGATTCTTGTCTAAAGACCTGAGTTTTGAAATATTTTTAACAAATAACTAAATGGCTATGCATGGATTAAGTTTTTGCAACAAACGTTCCTCACCCAAAGGTGTTGTATCTTACTATGTTTTTCCTTACCTCATTGTTTTTCTAACGTCTGTCCTCATGGCTTCTTTAGTGAATCCCACTTCAATGAATTTTTCCTCTATCAAGCCTCTAAGTGGGGGAAATTACAAACAATGGAGAGAGGACATAGAGATCATCCTGGGACTAATGGACTACGATCTTGTATTGAAGGAATATGAGCCACAAGCACTAGATGACAATAGCACCGTTGAACAAAGGCTAAATTTTGAAAAATGGGAGAAAGCGAATCGCATGGCACTGTTGGTGATCAAACGATCCATTGGTGAAGCTGTTAGAGGAGATATTCATGCAATTGACAAAGCAAAGGATTTTCTAGAAGCAATTGAGGCCAAATTCAAGGTTTTAGAGAAGGGAGAAATGGGGAATCTCATGACTACCTTGACAACTTTGAAATATGATGGGAAAGGCAATGTCAGATAACACATCCTGAAGCTAGTAGAGGCTGCAGCAAAGTTCACGGACCTAGAGGTTCTCATTGATAATGCTTTTGTTGTTCATAACAATTGAAGACATCATACAACACACCAAAGAAGAAGTGGAGCCTGAACGATCTCATTTCCATATGTGTCCAACAGGAAAGTGGGATAAAAATGTGTCAAATGAAGCAGTGAATTTCATAAGGGCTGAAACTGCGAGGCAGACTATCTTGACATCTGGTAAGCCATATAAACCCTTCTCCTATTTTCATGCTATTGGAAATGATACTCCCTCATTGTCCAAGGGATCTCACAGTTTTAAAGGCAACATTGAAAGTTTTAAATGCTACTTCTCCAAAGAATATAGCCACTTGAAGAGAGATTATGATAAACGAAAGAAATAGGCACCTAAGAAAAGGTAATAAAATTGAAAATGTTTTTGTCTATGTTAATGTTAATCTTATTAAAGTCCCTCCAGATTCTTAGTGGTTTAACACTAGTTATTCAATGCATATTACCAATTCCTTGCAGGGATTCACAAGAAGGGAAATTTCAAGAAATGAGGTCTACGATGTCCACATTGGGGATGGGAATAAAGTAGTTGTGGAGGCAGTAGACACCCTAAAGCTCAAGTTGTCATGTGGTTTCATTTTGGAGTTGCTAGATGTTCTTTATGTTCCTAGGTTAACTAGAAGTTTAATTTCTGCATGAAAACTTGTAAAAGACGGTTATGCTTTTGTGGGAGATGATGAAAGTGTATGGATTTACAAGAAAAATAGTATGAATCTTTTGTTTGGTATTTGTTTTTTAAACAAGGATCCTTGGAGGTTGAATTGTCAAGTAATACTAAATACAAAATTTTTGGCGGTGGAATCAAATTTGTCTTTGTAAAGGTCTCTGAATGATGAAGGGTTTTCTATGCTTTGGCATAGGAGACTTGGACATATTAACAAGAAAAGATTAGAATTTCTAGTTGAAGAACAAATGCTCCCAACGTTGAATTTTAATGATATGCAAAATTGTATTGACTGTTGGAAAGGGGAATTAACAAACACAAAGAAGATTGGTTCAATAAGAAGTCTTAACCTCTTAGAAGTCGTCCACTCAAATGTTTGTGGACCTTTCCTCACACAAACAATTAGCAAAAATGCATACTTTGTGTCTTTCATTGATGATTTTTCTCGGTATGCATATATATATATATATATCTTATATTCGAGCTCAGTATACCACTCCTGGAACACCACAACAAAATGGTCCAATGGCTTTGTTCTTGGAAGAAAATGGGATTCAAGCTCAGTACACCACTCCCGGCACACCATAGCAAAATGGTGTTACCAAGAGAAAAAATAGGACTTTGATTGAGATGGTGAGATGCATGATGAGTAGGACTGATCTTCCTATGTTTCTATGGGATGAAGCGCTAAAACTGGCAAATTATATCTCCAACAGAGTCCCAAGTAAGTCAGTGCGCAGGACTCCATTTGAACTTTGGACTTCAAGAAAGCCTAGTTTGAATCATCTTCACATATGGGGCTGCAAGGCAGAAGCAAAAATGTACAATCCAGAGGCAAATAAACTTGACCTTAAGACTATAAGTTGGAGTTTTATTAGTTTTCCAGAGAAATCAAAAGGGTACAAGTTTTACGCTCCAACCCTACATACGAGAATATTCGAAACAAATAATGCAAGGTTTATTAAAGTGGAAGAATCAAATGGAAAAGAGGCTCGTGATTTTTTTTTTTTTTTTCTGAAGAAGAAGAAAAGGTTGTGACAATAACTTCACCATCGTTATCAACCAAAATTGATTTTGGGACTATTGACACGCAAAACCAAGTACATGAAGATTTTTGTCAAGGTGATTTTGGTAGGGCTACTGGCATCCAACATGCATCAAGCAGTAGCAATACACAAATCTCCAACATGCAGCATAATGGAGATGAAAATCATGGTACAATTGCCATGCAATCAATGGTTGTTCCCATGATAAGGAGGCAACCTCCACGTACAAGTCACCAATTTTTGGAGATTTTCTTGTTTATGTGGGAGAAGCTGAGAAACTAGCCAAGGTTGATGATGACTTACTTAAGTTTCAGCAAGCTAATAGAGATAAAACTGAACATGAGGAAGGCATAGAGATTGGTCTAGTCACCTTTAAGCAAGCAGTGGCAAGTGAAATGCTAAACAATGGAAAATAGTTATGCAAGAGGAAATGGACTCTGGGAAATGGACTCTGTGTATTGGAATGAAGTATGGGTTTGGTCTTGACAACAACACATGAGTCTATAAAACCCATTGGGTGCAACTGGGTATAGAAAACGAAGAAAGGTTCAAGAGGAAAGGTTGATAGGCATAAGGCAAGACTAGTTGCCAAGTGGTATACTCAGAGGGAAGGATTGGATTACTTCGATACATTCTTGCCAGTTTCTTCGCAGGATTCTTCATAATCATCCTTGCTATAGTTGCTTAATACAAACTAGAACTCCACCAAATGGACGTGAAAACTATGTTTCTTAATAGAGTCCTAGATGAAGAGATTTACATGTTCTAGCCACCTGGATTTGTTGAAATGGGGCAAGAACAAATGGTGTGTAAACTTGTTGAAATGGGGCAAGAACAAATGGTGTGTAAACTGAGGAAGTTGATTTATAGGTTGAAATAGGCTTCCAAGCAGTGGTTCTTAAAGTTTGATGAAAAAGTAACCAGTTTGGGATTTGTTGAAAACAAAGTTGACGATTGCTTGTATCTCAAGGTATGTGGCTCGAGGTTCATCTTTCTAAACCTATATGTTGATGACATTTTATTAGCAAGCAATGATAACATGCAAGATTGTTCAAAAGGTGAAGCACCAATGAGCAAAGGAGATAAGTTGAACAAGTCTCAGTGCCCTAGTAATGAAATTGAAATACAAGGGATGGAAAATAGGCCATACGTGTCCATTGTTGGCAGTCTAATATATGCTCAAGTGTGCACTAGACCGGATTTGGCTTTTATTATAAGTATGCTTGGGAGATTTCAACCAAATCTAGGAGGAAAGCATTGGACAACAACCAAAAAGGTTATGAGGTACCTATAAAGAACAAAAGATTACATGTTGGTGTATGGGAAAACAGAGAAATTAGAATTGGTTGGCTACTGTGATTCTGATTTTGTAGGTTGTGAGGATGACAAGAGGTCTACGAGTGGGTTTATTTTTCTTTTGGATGGCAATGCAATATCTTGGAGAAGTGCAAAACAAAAAGACCTTGGCTAGTTCAACAATGCAAGCAGAGTATATGTCATGTTTTGAGGCCACAAAACAAGCTGGCTTCTAGAGGAATCTCACCACTGGAATGAAGATTGTTCAAAGCATAACAAGACCAATTGTCATTTTCTGTGACAATAAGGCATCAGTGTTCTTCTCTAAAAACAATAGGAAGTCCTATGTAGCGAGGGTAATGGATGTAAGGTATCAGTTAGTGAAGGAAAAGGTGACGGCTAGGATAGTTTCCGTTGAGCACGTTAATACCTCAGAAATGCTAGTAGATCCTCTCATAAAACCACTTGGAGTTGGAGTGTTTAGAGACCATGTAACATGCATGGGTGTTGCCAAGTATTTTGATGCTTTTGTGCTGCATGCATGAAGGTTATTTTCTTTCATCATTTTTCTATTTTTCATGAAAAATTGAATAAGCATGGATTATTGCATTCATATGTTGGTTTTTAAACAATGAATTCAGGACAATTGTTTCAGTTATTGTGTGTATGTACAAATATATATGTTATGTTTGAAATGATGAATTACTAATCAAACCGAGGTTTAATGAGTTGGTTATTGTAAAAGGCTTATCATTGGAGCCAAATAAAGGCTTGACAATAATGTTTGGTTTGATCAGTAGGAGTGTAAATAGTAGACATGTTAAATATGTTTGCTTGCTCTGTTAATGTCATGCATGAGTAGTTTTGGGGGATGTGATCTCAAAGTGTTAGTACAAATTATGAAGTATGAGTTTTCTAGGGTTCAACTCTTTGAAGCTAGTCATGGCAGATATGAGTTGTTGTATGGTTGACATGACTCAAGTGATCACTTAAGGGATTTGTTTAATGCATTGGACAAGGAACATGATAAGTGGAAGTTCAAAAGTGGGAGAATGTTAGGTTTTGAACTTACATGTATCATAATAAGGATATCTAAATGTGGGTTTAAACCAATTAGGAGTCATGGCCATGTCAATAACTGATCTCCTAGAATTAAGGGATTATAGGAACATTATACATAACCTCATTTAAATGTTCAAGTTAATGGGTATTAACTGATCCCATGACAGCTGGGATCACATTATGAATATACTATATAAATACGAACGTCCCTGCTCACCAGAACTACGTTCACTCGATCACTAGACTATCACTAGTGTTAGACATAAGAGCTATGTGAGTAGAAGGCCTTCTATGTAGTCTCTTTAGTGCATTCATACTATTCTTCATGGCTTCTTTAGGTATGTAAATGCATATATATATATATATATATATATATATTGATTCAATCACTTTGAACTAACATTTTGTTTGTATATCGTAATCTTAGTTTGAGACAAAAAGCTTAATGTAACATGGATGTGGGATGATGTCAGGATCTCTAGAGAGAGCTTAGGACATCTCCTAAACAATTAATGACACAAAACTAGGAAATAATCCTTCTTGGCTTGGGAAACACGTCATTTCTCTTGCACCCCAAATTTGGGGTCGATTTATTTTCTGAAAAATTATGTAAAAGTATGGGAAACGTATCTTTATCTCTTATCTTTCCAAGCATATATCGCACGTCCTAGGAAAAATCAAGAAAGCCTTCAAATCTTCATTCTCCCACAGCGGCGCAATTTAGACGAGAAAATAACTTCTACGGGATTGATTTGTAACACTGGAATGAAAGGCTTCAAGGGAAATTATGAAATTCAAACACAACGATCTTTAGCCTATAGCTTCCTTCTCTAATTGGCTTTGCATCAAAAGTCCTCCAAAAAGTCAAATTATCACCAAAAAGATCCTGAGTTTGCAGATTGGCTGAAATTAAGGAAAGGAAAGTAATAAGGCTCTTTTATAATCAATTCTTTAACAAAACTTAGGGATAATTAACATGAAAATATGATAAATAATGCACCTATCAGTACTTTGAATATCATGATGGGAAATTTTATAAACACTAAGTTTGGGAGGTGATGTTGATTAGCCGAATCAACATCACTAAGGGGGTTTTTGACAAACTCTGTCCCGGGTCTGCAAGCTTACTTGTGTTTTGCCTCAGCATTCCTTACATCAAAGTTAGCTTACTTCAGAAAGATTGACAAATTAAACTATATTCCGCGATTATGGAGCAAAGGACGAAACTTCCAAGTGTTTTCTCCAACATGCTTAATGGCTTGAGTAAAATAAACTTAGCAATATATTCCTAAGGCATCTAAGTCATTCCAAGAATATATAGGTGCAATCCACCTTGCATCTAGCATTTTAGCTATGCATCTGGAACTTCAACCAGGGGTTTATAGTATAATTCAAAACTCCGAAAGATCAAACCTTTGAATAATAAACGAGTAGGACTAGTCGGACTTAGCTAGCTCTGGATCAACAAGAAGTTTGGAAGTCATTCTGATGCACATTCCGGAGAAGTTACTATACAATGAATCACTCACGGTCCATTGATAATTATCCATCTTCGAAGCGGAGCACATTCTCAGGAGCATAGTTAGGGGCATGTGGGACCATGATATGTCGAAAGAATGATCGGAATGCCTGAAGCCCATGGACTATAGTCCGGTAGAATAAACTTAGCCTATTAAAGATATTTCTTGTCTTCTAAGTAAGAAAACCTCATTAAGGTCAAATTAGGGTATCTTGGGGGTTAGGTAATACAATCATGATTCTAGGAGGATTATGTAACTTATCCTAGATTTCCTCCAAGATTATCTCCCGATTCGATGAAGATTACTTTCCCTACAAGAACTCTCAAGATCCCTACAAATACACTAGCATGGGTATCATGGGTATTTATCAAGGGGACATCACATTTACTTTTCTTTAAGTCTGATATTCTTTACAATACACATATTCTCTCTATGCCTAGCAAAGACCCTCATGTCACCATATATGTGCATCCATATCCATGGAGATCTTATCTGTCAACACCCTGCCATAGGCTATTCATCAAGCATGGTTCACACCATGTTTCCTCAAAACTACACTTGTGGTTTGATTCTCCTTCCTAGATTCAACCACACCCCCCAATCAACCTAATTTTCGCTTCATTAGAGATTAGGGTAAGTCCGACTGGATTTCTCCTTCATCCACGGATGTGCACGAATTTGGTTCCAACAGTAGTGGTTCGATGTATCTTGTTTGAGGATAAGTCGGCCGAGCTCACGCTTTAGGATAAGCTCAAGATGTCTAGTGTGTTTAGCAAGCTTGCATCAAATATAGGTTTTAGGAAGAACATCTGAGGCCTTATCACCATCATCATCGTCTTCCTCAACCATCTCTTCTGGAAGTCTAAAGTCAGCTGGTTTGGTGGTCATATAATAGCCGCAATTGTTAATTTCTGGCAGCGGAGATATATTTCCACCTCCTGAGGTGCCATACGGTCTAGCGTGATGGAAACATGAGAATCATGTACCAGTTCAATGCCCAAAAGCATAATTTCCAGATTTGTAGATGTTTTTTCCATTGTTGTTTTCTTCTAAACTGAGCAATTTCAGTGGTCATGAACTTCATAGGTTTTTTTCTTTTTCTTTTTTTTCTTTTTCTGCATTTGATCACACTTGACATGCCTAAATGACCCTAAAAATTTCAAAGGCTACGTACATATTACACTAACTACTTCCTTCATGTGAATGCATGTGGCCCAACTCTCAATCGAGTTCGGTCGTGTGAGTATATTAGATGTGGTGGTGGTGGTGCCAAATGTGCTGCTTACTTCTCTATGCGAATACGATCGAGAAAGATACCTAAAATAAGTGCACAATATCAATATCAGATTGTAATGGCAAAGATACCCAAAATAAATAAGCCTCTTTATCGTGAACGTTGTTCAACCGTCTGAATGCCAAACTCTTAAATGTATTTGTGAGTAACCGATCATAGAACACCTCACTTCACTAATGAAGTGATCTTTTTCGGCAAAAGAATCAAAGTCTCTTTGCTAGCTAAGACTTGGATGGATAATCAACTGAACTAAAGGTATTGTTGTTCCACCAAACTGAATGTACTCCTAGACGATTAGTTCTACAACTCTAGTGATGTTCCAGCAAATTGAATATATTGCTGATTGCCAACCCAATGATACTCCAACGAACAAAATATGTGTTGGTTATGATAATTAGTATTTTTCTCAAGGTTGTGAGAAGTTTTGAGGTTTTACACATAGAGCACTTGAATTGTTTGTTGAGTTGAAATGCCTTTTATGTTGCAGAACCACTTCTATTTATAGGGATGGATTTCGTGATAACTAAGCTTGCCGAGGTAAAGTCTTGATATGAATATGTCTTTTCAACACACACTTGGGATACCTTTAGAAATTATCTCTTAAATCCCTTTTTTTAACAGAAATCAACCTTTATCTAGTTTCGGTTTCTACGACTTGAACTAGGATTCTATATATAGTTCCTTTATGCACTTAATTTATTCTTTATCTAATCAGCCACAAGTTTTTATTCCTAGCATAATTTGAGCCTTATCCAAACCCTGCCTAATCCTTAGAAATCTTATTTCAACTAGGGCTCACACAAGCCACACCTAAGTCTAATGCCTTAGTAATCCTAGCTCCACTAGGACTTGGTCGAATCATGTTTCTCTGGGCTGAGAACCAACTGGCCTGAAGAATTATCATTTGGCCGAGAGTCACAGCCTTCCCACTCGACCTATCTTTCCTCGGCCCAAATCCTACATTTTAGGCCCAAACACATGTGTAAACTTAATGGTGTATTCGAAAGACTTTACCAAAAAATTACGAAAAATAAATAGCCTTTTTTGTCTATATGGTTCCTGAGATTGACATAACTCATTATTTTGGTCCCTGAGATTTAAATCAATAGAAGTGGTCCTTAAGATTGTCCACCATCTATCATTTTAGTCATTCCATTAAAAAGCTTCGTTAGATTGAAGATATTTTTGCCAAATCAAATTCTCCACTTGCTTTTTCACCCTTTACTCTCATTTCTCTCGTCTTTTAGAACTCAATCCTCATCTTTGTCATCAATTTTTCCTTGTCAGCTGACTGAGAAAAGAAGAAAACAAATGGATGTCACTGCACAAATGGATGAAAATAAGCTGCAACCATTTTTTTCTTCTTTTTTTGGATATTTCCTAAATTCTTCAAACTTCTAAATATCTTCCTCTTGAAGGTAAGAAAGTCATAGGGAATAAGAAAAATAGATGAAGGCAAGATATAGGCTTTGGTGTGGCTATGTGGAACACAAGAAGTAGGTCCAAAATGCTTCACAGCTTCACGAGCATTCTTAGGTCCTCTAAGAGGAATCATGTTCTAGCTAAGAGGAGCTCTGAGAGCCAGTTCGTCAAAAGTCAAGCACTCGCCACCTGCTTTCTTAACCCTAGCTCTGACGGGGTGAACCTGAGGGCGGTCATTATCAGACATGGAACCTTATAAACCCAAATGTCGTCGATCAAAGTCTCGACCACCACAAGCAATCTTACCCTCCTTTTCGATCATTTACTTAATCATTTGAGAAAGGCACAGAGGGCCATGTTCAACTCGCTAATGAACAACCTCTTCAGAATGACATCATTGAACTTGTTGCTTGTCCTCCTCCCAAGAAATCGATGCTTTTCACAATGGATATCGGACAATCTCAATGGCCACTTCTATCGATTTTAAATCTCAGAGACCAAAGTGATGAGTTTGCTCTTAAGGACCATTTTAAATATAAAATAAATAAATAAATATATGTTAAAGGGTTTTTATCACAAATGGTCCCTGAAATTTACTCAACTCATCAAGATGGTCCCTGAAATTAAAAATCGATCAATGTAGTCCTTGAAAATAGGTGTCTGAAATCAATGTGGCCCTTCCCTCACAATTCCGTCAAAAACTGTGTTATGTGCTGATGTGACACATGCATGGGTTCCACAAGACTAATTAATATTGCCGTGCGGATTAGAAATACTTTAAAATAATAAAAAAACAATTTCTATTTTTGGATAATTAATAATTCAAAAAAAAAAACCGTCATCTTTTTCTCTCATCCGAGGAAGCTACTGTAATGACCCGTTCCCAATTTTCCGGTTTTTTTATAATTTTAATAAGTGAATTTACAAAAATACCCTTCGAGGAAAATGCGTTGACTTTTGCTGACTACTGTGTCGTGTCACGTAAAACTCATTTTCTTGGTGTATCCTCATAGTACTCATCGCTACGGACGTATGGGCTCAAGCGAAATGTAATTTGGAGTTATAACGAAGATTCTACGAACCTTTAAAAGTTGAGGGCATTTTGGTAATTTTCCATTTAAAACACAGGTGGTATTTTGTCTGATCATTGGATGAGTGCCACATGAGGCCACCCCCACTTTTCTAGAACTCTCTTTCTCTTTCTTTTTCTTCTTCTTCCGTAGCTCCTCTCTAATTCTCTCTTGGCTCTCCCTTTTTCCCGTGAAACAAACCACCATCATCACTGAAAATTTTGGCTTGTTAAACATCAAAACCACCATTATCTACATGTCTTCACCACCATAAACCCAGTTTTGAGTTTTGTTTCATTGAAAATGAATCCTAACCACGTGTTTGAAGAACAAGGTTTTGGGCCGACATTTCTAGGAGTGATTCAGACAATTCCCAGCCATCTTTTGAACTCAAAATAGGTACAAATCGATTCCTCATTTTGTAGATGAATTTTCATGTTTGGATCATGCGATTTGGTGGAGAAATGAGAAAGTTATAACAATTTAAAGTTTGCCTAGTTTCCGGCAACCTCCGTCACTTTCGAGGCGTTTTACGGCTAAATCACAGCGAGATAGCGATCGTGTAGGTACCAATCTCTTCGTCTCGTCAATAACTATGATTTCTGTTTTTAAATCACTTGATTTCGTTGAGTATTGACAAAGTTATGGACGTTGAAGGGTTGCCCAGAAATTCTGGAGAGTTTCCCTGTTTTCCCTCAGACAGCCGTCTTTCAGGCAATTTTCTGGCCATTGTGGGCGACCATTTGGACTCCAAGCAGGTATAACCTTGTTCTACACTTCTTGAGCTTTGTTTTAGTATATTATGGGTCGATTCTAGTTGAGAAACAAGTGAGATATGGAGTTCTTGCCCAGAAAATCTGCAAAATCTGCAGAATCCGACGAAATTTCGTTAAGGTCCGCCACTTGAACATTATAGTAATTGACGATCTGACCATTGGATCATCACTAAACTTTGATATGCTATAGTAATTAATATTTGAGGACCATAGAAACTTACATATCGGGAATCCGACGTACGGATCTTCCCGAATTGAAATTGTAACTTTACAAAATAAAACGTTAACCGCCACTTGAATTTGCAATTGGCAGCGATCCAGCCGTTGGATCATAATGAAACTTTAGTATGTTGTTCTAGAAGCATATTGTGTATCTTTGGAAGTTACGGATCAAAAATTTGAGATGCGGATCTTCCGGATCGAGTTACGTAGGGTTGTGGACCCTACCGTCGATCAAAGATTGACGGTTGACTTTTGGTCAATGGGTCTTAAATCATTCAAGAACGTCATTGGGGATTTGTTTTATTTAAGTTACGTGTTCTATTGATAAGGATTCTGAGATGTGGCTTGATAATTGTTCTAGGCGACGATCGTTCGAGACATTTTGATATTCGTGCTAGGGAGTGTAGCGTGGATCTCAAGTGAGTGGGCTTTTGGTTTTCTATACACACACACACACACACACACACATTTATGCTTTACATTTTCCTAGAACTGTGTTAAATGGATTTACGTTTATAAATGCCATGTCAATTACATTATATGTTAGTATATGCATTAGTATACATATGCATAATATTTGTTGATGCTACGGAGGCGCAGGTAAGTTTCAGGTGAGTATATCACGATGATAGTGATTATGGTGAGTATGGTTATGTTTAGATGCATTTAGTGCTCATTATCTTGCACCCCGGTGTTAGTCCTCCGCCCGTGGCCAGGGCCTAGCCTTCACGTGATCGTTCACCTCCCGCACCGCACGCTCAACTTGGATCAAAGTCAGGTGCCAGCCTGTCGTACAGACCACATTAGGTGGTTCCGACTTATTGGTGACCTGCGATTCGTCGCACAGCCTTCACGTGATCGTAGCACTTGAGCATACTTATTCACACCCAGCTTGTCGTACAGACCACATTAAGTGGTTCCGACTTGTGTGCATGAATTAGTAGATGAGCTATAGGCTCAGCCATACAGGTCACGTTAGGTGACTCCAGCTGACATATTAGTTACATTGATTTATTTAACCTGGCTTACTTTGCTGAGATACTTGACATGGCATATACTTGGTTTTCACTACTCTCGAGCATGATTTCTACGTAGGTATGTATTACTATTTTCTGGGAAATTATACGGGTTTTACAGTGAGGGTTATTATTTTTTTTTGGAAAGAGAAATAGTTTTAAAAAGCTTTGTCTGTTTTGCCCACTCACGTTTTTTGTTTTTCGCCCCTCCAGGTTTTAGCTGCTGAAAGTTCGTATCGATGAGGATTCTTGGCGAGTCTTAGTATAAGTGGCTACGTCTGAGGGTATAGTCCTTACCTACTTTACTATACTTTACTTATGCTCTGGCGTCACATGTGAATGGGTTCATTCCCGTTCACCAGCGCACTCTGGTATTTTGGCACTCTTAGGTTTAAATTTATTCACACTTTCCACATCACTACACTTTATGGCTTCATCACTTGGAAGGTGTTAGCCAGCACAGCTCGATTCGAAACCCTAGTGGACATTCTGGGTTGGGTGTGTCAGCTACACCCGTCCACTTCGGCTCCGAATCAAGAACTATATGTCTGATACCCAGAAGCCTAAAGCCCCTAATATCGCATCCACCACACAATGAAGCAACACATCCCCAAAATTCAAATACAAAATTTAAAAATTAAATCGAAAATGTGTTAGATACCAATTCCGGCCACTAGTTTAACCTTAACTTGGAGCAAGAGTAACAGAGAATGGCAAGAAGAAGATGGAAATATTTTTTTGTAAAATTATTTTTTAGTTCTGATTTCATTTCTAACTGTTGCAACAACAGAGAGAGAAAGTTTTATAGCACTAACAAACCCCTCCAATGTGAAACTGCCACATGGCACACAACCTAGACTCCATAACAAATTGCATAAAAGAAAGGCAAATTACATAATGACCCCAAAACATTACATTTTGACCCTCAAGCATTACAATTCTACCCAAAATCCTGTTACTTGTGATCAAGGTAATCACCAAACATAACAATGCTTCCCCCTTGAAAAATAATCTTGTCCACAAGGTTCAAACTAGAAAGTCAGGGTATCTTGTCTTGAAAGCATCAAAGTCCTCCCATAAAGCCTATGTTGTTTCCTGTCTAGACTATTGCACCAGTAATTGCACATTAGCTGCATTTCCTTTCTTATACATCCTTTTAGCCAAGATGGCCTGAGGTAGGTTCTGCACCAATCCATCGCGTGCTATAATAGGTAAGTTCACACTTGGAACCACTTCTTCCCCCAGTTGCTTCTTGAGGCAGCTTACAAGGAATACATGATGTATTTTTGTTCCTTCAGGTAACTTCAACTTATAGGCTACCACACCAATTTTTTCCAAAACTTCATAAGGGCCATATAACCTAGGTTGTAGTTTGTGATTACTATGTGTAGCAAGTGTTTGCAACTGAGAAGGAACTAGCTTCAGGTAAACCCAATCCCCCACATTGAAATGTTTCTCAGTTCTTTTTATATCAGCCTGAATTTTCATTTTTTTTTTGGTGCAAGTTCCAAGTTATGCTTGAGAATAGCTAGTATGTTATCCCTTTCTATCATACTTTGTTCCATAGAATCCGTCTTTGCAATTCGTACTTCATATGGAGCTATATGAGGTGGGGAACGACCATAGACCAATTCAAAAGGTGTAAAACCTGCTAATGTGTGATGTGATGTATTGAAACACCACTTAGCCCAAGGCAACCAATTCACCTATTTCTTAGGCTGCACCCCAATGAAACACCTTAAGTAGGTCTCCAAACACTTATTCATAACCTCAGTTTGCCCATCACTATGAGGGTGATAACCATAACTCATGCACATTTTTGAACCCCGCAGCTTGAAAAACTCTTTCCAAAAAGCACTAACGAACACAGGATCTTTATCACTTACAATGGAGTTTGGCATTCCATGCAATTTGAACACAAGCTCAATGAAAGCTTGAGCCACATTCCCTGCAGTATATGGATTAGAAAGAGCAATGAAGTGTGCATATTTAGAAAGTCTATCCACCACAACCATTATCACAGCTTTCCCTTTACAATTTGGGAAACGAACTATGAAATCCATGCTAATGTCAGACCAATTCTTTTGTGGGATGGATAATGGTTGTAATAGGCCATGAGGTGCTATGGTTTCCACTTTGTTTTGTTGACCATACCATATTCAACTACAAAGTTTCTAATGTCTCTATTCATCCACTACAATAGAACCTTTTTCTAATCATGTGATAGGTTTGTACCACCCCCTGGTGACCTGCTCCAAGAGTAGAGTGATATTCTGCAATAATTTTGTGTCTCCGAGGTGATGTAGGGCTCAACATTATCCTCTTCTTATAGCACAAGAATCCACTATCCAATGTGTATTTAGAGACTGCAACATTATCACTAACTTTTTTTAGAACTGTCAAGCACAGGTTTAACTCTTTTTATAATCCACTTATCATTTTCAGAACTCCTCCTTATGTCATCCATCCTACCAAAATAAGGGTAAGATATTGTAGTGAGTTCCATGTCAGAGTTAATAAGATATTGCACATGATTAGAGTTGATACCTGGTATTTTAAAGAGTGCATCAACCACCGTGTTTTTTATTCCACTCATATTCTGAATCTCATAGTCAAATCCCAGGAGTTTTGAAACTTATTTCTACTAAAAAAGAGTATTAGCTTTTTGACTGAGGAAATACTTGAGACTGTTGTGATTAGTCTTGATTATGAAGTGTTTCCCTTGCAAATAGTTTTACCATTTTTTCTCAGCATGAACTATTGTAATCAATTCTCTTTCATAGGTGGAAAGAGCTTGGTTCTTAGGTCCTCATGCCTGGTTGGTGAAGGCAATTAGTCTGTTATTTTGTTGCAGTACTGCCCTAATTCCATTATCTGAAGCATCACACTCCAATTCAAATGGTTGATTGAAATTAGGTAGTGCTAATACCTGAGGTGAAGACATAATCTTCTTGAATTTTTCAAAGGCTTCCAAGGATCCACTCCCTAATAGAATCCATCTTTTTTGGTAAGATTGTACAAGGGTTGACATATTTTTCCATAACCAAGAACAAACTTCTTGTAGTAACCAATGAATCCCAGAAACCTTCTCAATTCCTTAACATTCCTTAGCACAGGCCAATCAGTAATTGCTTGTAGTATCTAGGATCTGCAACCACACTATCTTTAAACACAACATGGCCTTAGTATTCCACTTTACTTTGACCAAATGAGCATTTCGATTTTTTCAAAAACAACTGATTGCATTGCAATATCTAAAAAACTTGTTGTAAATGAACCAAGTAGTCTTCCCAAGACTTGTTGCATATAAAGATGTCATCAAAAAATACCAACACAAATTCCTGAGAAATGGTTTGAAGAGATCATTCATCAAATTTTGAAGAATGGTAGGTGCATTAATAAGACCAAAAGAGATGACTAAGAACTCATAATGTCCTTCATGAGTACTAAATGCAATCTTGGCAACGTCTTCAGGAATGTATTTGAAGATGTACATTTTTTGCCAAGGAAGCTTGTCAGTAGATGAGAATACTGAGATTTAGTGTGGATTAATTTGTACAAAGAGAGGTTTCCAAGAGGTAAATTCGGTAAACTTCAAGATAGAGATGGTGGTCCACTTCGTATTCTAAAACAATTTGGTGAGTGCTTATCAAGTGGAGTTGCTTACAGAGGCCTCTACAATTTTGTTCAGCAATATCTCTTTGTTCAGCAATATCTGGTGACAACCTAATCTTAGGTCAAGCT